CGGCCACTTAGGCTCCTACCTGCGCACAAGCGATTCGCCGATTCGTTAATCAGCACCAGGTGTCGCGCGGTACCGCTCCGAATGTGTACACCTGCTGTAAGGAGAGATGCTTCTATACGTCGTCTATACGGCGCTCGACGATAATTTATCGGCGTCTCATTTAGAAGCGAGAACGAGTTATACTCGAGAAGTCCGTAAAGCCAGCCGATGCAAAACCTTTTCGTTTTCATCTTTCTCTCTTTCTCTCCCTTCATTCTCTCTCTCTCTCTCTCTCTCTCTCTCTCTTTCTCTCTATCTTTCTCTTCCTCTTTCTTTCTCTCTCTTTCTCTCTGTCTTCCTTGCTCTCTCCTCGATAGAGGAGAACGGCAAAAGGATACATGTCAGTTTCTAATGATTTAATCGTTTTCCTTGGAAGAATGAAAGACGTGAATTTGAAATAAATTTTAATAACGCTCGACACGGCCAAAGAGGAACGTTCGATTCGCGGGCTCGTTTAAACGTTCTTTGCGATGCGCGAACAGGCTATAATTTATAAGCGTTTCGATTCATACTTTTATATTCGAGTTAAGGAAGAAGAGGCTCTTGCCCGATGGCTAAGAAATTTCCCTTAGATCGAATCTCGATTCCTTGGCATTTCCTCTTATCTTTCTCTCTCACTATATCAACTTTGATACTAACAGTTAGGTGTCATCCTTATTTCATTCTAATTGATCTTCTATCTCTCTTTGATATATTTTTCATAAAACATTATTATCATGCGTACGATTTTCTAAACATTTTCGTTTACAAAAAAAAAAAAAAAAAGGAATATAATATAACTATATTACGGATTATTGTCCGTGTTATTGTATCCGTACAATCGGATAAAAAAAAGAAAAAAAAAAAAAACAAGGAAAAAAAAAAGGAGAAAAGAAAAATAACACGCGTACGCGATTCACCAAAATGCAGGAGGGATCGTATTAGTAGCAAGAAGCATCGCTTCATCGGGTCTTCCTCGTACACGCCTTACGAGCAAAAACCTGAATCTTCTCGAAGGTAGCAACTTTTTGGAGCACGTCAGAGGAACAGAATGTAGGAAGGTAGAGAAGACGAAAGGAACGAGAGGACAGGAGGATTGCCTTTGTTCGTCTACCCGTATAACTTGGCGATGTATCGCGCGGTGACAGGAAGATAACAAATGTTACACGTCGGGATAATTGCCAGTAGGAATTCGCCTCTTCTACGGGAGCCCGTTGTCTCTGACTCTCAGAGATAGAAATAAACGAGAAAGAAAGAGAGAGAGAGAGAGAGAGAGAGAGAGAGAGAGAGAGAGAGAGAGAGAGAGAGAGAGAGAGAGAGGGAGAGGAAAGTACAACACAACAGTGCCCTGACGAAGAAACACGCGCTGCATCTTTGCAATACGATTGTATTTGCACGCATATATGTGGTCTATGTACAAGCATGAGTGTGCGTGTGGGAGCCATCAGCGTTCGCCGCAGGATGTCCGCCCGGACACAGACGGTGGTCGAGCAAACGTTATGGCTATTCTACCACGAAGACGTCCTTACACCTACGCTTTTCTTCCACGAATCTTTTGAACCTTAATTTTTTTTATCACTTCGAAAATATCCAATCGGTTGTTCTTATAAAAGTTAATTTCTTCTCAGTTTATAAAGATAGTACAACTACAAGACTAAGATAGATCTATTTTATTTTCTTCTTTTCTATGTTTCTATTATATTTTATTTATTTATTTATTTATTTATTTAATTGCATCATCAATTGAATCATATTACAATATAGAATTCTGTAAATCTATAATATTATTGATCATTGTTTATAAAGTAAGATAAAAACTTTGTCAATCTCAAGGATTCGAGAAATAGTATGTAATATAATTAATATTATGATTTGTAGATCATGTTTTACTTTATTTAAAATTTTATATTGTTAATGATATAACTTATGATTAGATATGTTGTTTTAATTGAACATCGTATCGAGTGAATCTAAACGAGTATTAGATACCTCCTATAATCGATAATATCAGACAGAAACCTGGCGACATTTTCTTATAATTCTCGTTCCTTGGACTTTGGTCTAATGGACGTCGAAGTGGCGACAAATCGACGAGCCTGGCAACGCCTCCGGCTTACAAGAATACCTTACGAAGGCTAAATTCCATCAAAAGGACATATCGAAAGACATGGTAAAAGAGAGCGAATACATAGAACGACCAATCAACGATCATGCGTATTTATTGTAAGCACCGTGTACGATGATTACGATTGGTTGATTAACAGTTTTCTTTTCTCCTCTCTCCACTCTTTTGCGTATTTACCTCTTTTCCTATATATATATATATCTCCCCTCCACCCTCTTTCTCTCTCTTTCTCTGTCCTGTCGCGAGATATAGACCGAAGTCGTATAAATCGCGCACACGTTCTACTTTGCATACTCGATTGCCGACAAACGCGTTACTCGTGTATTATCCTCCACTATCTCACATTTTTTTTTTAATCTTTTTCGTTATCATTATTCCTTATCCCATTTCATTCTTCTTCTTCTTCTTCTTCTTCTTCTTTTTCTACGAGACACTATCGCGCCATTTTGGATATATTACCATTACCACACGTCGTTAAAGGCATTCATTCGTTATGTCACGTTAACGCTCTTATTTATTCTCAGGTATTTTATTTATCGTCGACTTGATAATAAGCTTGAAATTATTAATAACGATTGATATTTGCATGACTGATGATATTAAATTTTCCATTTGGTATAGACGAATGGATGGAGAATTGATAAAATTTTTAATTTATAAAATTTTTTTAAAAACATAGAGAAATATAATATTAAAGATGGTTTCTTCGAATGATCACGATCTTCTTCGAATATATCCCCTTGATCCTTCTTCTTTGTGCGGTCTCTGAGTGAGATTTTTTTCTTCTCTTTTCTGTGTATAGAAAAGAAAAAGAGAAAGAAAAAGAGAGGGAGAGAAAGAGAGATCCGGCTCTCGCGTGCCGGATTTTCGGTGTAGGCCGAGTTTCGCGGCAAAGGGTGAATTAATGCCCGATGAGAGCGGTCGCAGTTAATAAAGCGGACTTATTAAACGATTACATTAACGCAACCGTCCAAGTCGAAGATTAATGCACTTGGTTCAGCGGACCGAACGTCTCACTCGCGTTTGGTCCTCTTGCGAGCAAGCTAGCGAGCCGTCGCAACGTAGCAGAAAGGCAGAAGCCGACAAGAAATATGATATACACGTTTCCCGTCGCTGTATCGCGGTAGCTTTAAGATAATTACGGGCACACCGTCGATAATTTTTACGAATCGAAGGACTAAGATTAGACTGGTGATTTCTTTTTTGTGTTTTGTTTCTTCTTCTTCTTCTTCTTTTTTTTTTTTTTTTTTTTTTTAATCTCATCATCTTCCTTAAGACCTCTTTTTCATCTTGTTCTTGTTCCTCTTCTTCTTGTTCTTGTTCTTCTTCTTCTTCTTGTTCTTGTTCTTCTTCTTCTTATTCTTCTTTTTCTTCTTCTTTTTTGCTTCTCGTTACTTCTCTTATTTCGTCTGATCGAATCGAGAAATAAATTTAATGCAATTTTAATTACCATGATAATTATTAATTTCATTTGAATTTGTACGTTCGACGAAAGAGAAAATTCGATCGTCCGGTTATCTTTCTAACAATAAATTTCCATTAGGAACAATTTTCATACGTAATTCGATACGTGCATGTATGATTTGTTAACTCTTCGAAGATTCATTTATCAGAAAAGATAGCCATGAAATTTCTTTAATACGTTCCGCAAGAAATCGTACAGTACGTAATAATATATACGAAAAAAAAAAAAAAAAAAGAAAAAAGAAAATACGTAAATATACGCACATACGTAGAAATTAGTTTCTCTCATTCGAAAGATAATCGTGTGTTCCTTTTTACGACACAATTCTTCTTCATTTTGTATGATCACCACCGATATCTTCGTTTCGTTTACATTTCTTTCATTCGTTTCTTTGCGAAAAAAAGATAATCTACCAAGAGATAGAGAGACTCGACTCATTAAAATTAATTTACAATTAAGGTAGATTACTTTCTTTTATTTTCATTATGTCAAATGTATTTATTATTATGTATGTTACTATTTCTGTGATACTCGTATAGAAAATCTCGGTCTTTATTTAACTCAACGAACAAAGAGAAGAGAAATAATAAACATGAAGAAAGAGTAGAAGTAAGTAAGAGTAAAAAAGAGAGAAAGAGAGGGAGAGAAAGAGAAAGGGAGAGAGAGAGAGAGAGAGAGAAAGAAGAGAAAGGACAGTAGAACTTTCAATAACTATACAAGAGCAGGTGGATGAGAGTAGGCGAGAACACGAAACTACTTGAGAGTGTTGCAGCGGCGATTTTCTTAGCCCACCCGCACCTACCACCACTCGCCTCGATGTCACGTGTTTATAAATAGTGCATCAACGTAATACCCGACGGCTCTCTAGCCTCGGCGAAAGATTTACGAACATCGTGGCAAACGGTAACTAGAGCTTCTCGCCGAGACGTCCTGAACGCGGAAAGGAATTTCTCTATATAATAACGAGGGTGTCTCGATCTTTCGTCTAGTTAACTTTTACCAATCTAATCTCTAAAAGTGATAAATATTTTAAAAGAAAAGAAAAAAAAAAAAAAGAAAAGAAAAAAAAAATTTTGAAGGAAAATTCATAGAAGAGAAAGATAATTGATGAGGATAATTTAATTAAAATCATTCGATTAAAATTTTAATTATTACATCATAACGACATTTCACGATTCTTGAATTTTCCTCAACGTGCACCAGCTATTTCTGCTATCCCGAAATGTCGTGTCAGATGTACCCACGCACCAAGTAACATCGTGCCATTCTGTAATACGAGCAAAGTGTTCCTGATTTCCGTCGAAATACTAGACTAAGATTTAGGAATGTCATGAATTTATGACAGTCCATGTAATTTATCCGCAAAGATAAAGCTCGAATATTTTTTTTTTTTTTTTTTTTTTTTTTTTTTTTTTTTTTTTTTTTTTTTTTATTCAAAAAAATATAATTATATATAATTCTCAGGCTCGATCTATCTTGGTCTGATAAAATTTATTATTATTATTTTATTTTTACATTTGGTCGATTCAATTTTCCGTAGGACATATGACGAAATGATAAGGCACATCTCAGAGTTCCAAGAGAAAACAGAATTTATGAAGAAAAATCTCGGATGACCGAGAAAGAAGAGAAAAGGAAAGAAAGATAGAGAAATAACGAAATAGAGAGAGAGAGAGAGAGAGAGAGAGAGAGAGAGAGGGAGAGAAGAAAGGAGAAGAACAGAAGAGTAACTCATAGAAGCACGCGCTGTCCGGCACGTTGAGAAATGCAGCACAAAATGGATGCTAGCACTTTCAGATTCTCCCGCAACAGATTATATATGTACGCATTTGTTAACTTAATAGAATCCGACGAGCGTATTACAATATACTTGGAAATAATGGAACTTGGACGTTTGGATGAGTGCTGACTATCAAAACGAACGGATTTTCCTTCGTGGAAACGTCTTTGCCTCGAGATGTATCGTTTAAATGGAACTTCCGCGAGAGTATAAGTTTCATGAAACGCGTCTTTCCATCTTGTATTCATCATCGTTTTCCTCTTCTTTTGCTACCTAATAATTTTGCGACGGAATTAGGAGGAAAATGATCGACCATAGAGGACGCCCTCAAGACGATTATTATACTATCTTACTATATTACTAGAACAATTACTATTATTATTATTATTGCTACTACTACTACTACTATTACTACTACTACTGCTACTACTACTACTACTACTACTACTACTATTATTAATACTATTATAAGATCTTACGAGACATCTTCATTACCGGTGTTCGCTTTCGCGTGCCCGTAATTACTCCACAACGCACACACGTGTTTTGTAATTACTCGTGAGGAAGGTCTTGATATGACTTAATTCACGCCCATAACGAAGTCCGATATAATTCACGATAATTGGCTAATAACTGACTGTCCGCCGATAACCGACAGCTTTTAGATCGTATATTTTTTATCGAGAGGACGGAAAGTATGTGTTTTAGGTATTATTCAATGAAAGAAGAGTTCCATTTTCGACGAAATTTCATCCTACTTTTAATACCTACATCACAAAAATGTATCATATCATGATCACAGACGAAAATATATATATATATATATATATATATATATATATCCGTTAACTTCATGGTGGTCTAAATCCGAATCGAATCGACGTTACTAATATGTTCGGTTAAGAAAAAGACAAAAATCGATTCGTACCTATGTGTACTTACTTACAACGAGGAACGAATTTGTTAGAATCGATAAAATTAATCCCCGTCAGTCAATAGCGGAAGTTGATCTCCGATAGAAATCACGGTAAATGCATTGCTCGACGTCGCTACTTCCCATTGAGCTTATCGATCTTATTTTTTAAAAGCAATGACGTTTCATGTTGCTCGAAAAAATCAAAGAGCAAGCGAGAGAGAGAGAGAGAGAGAGCGAGAGCGAGAGCGAGAGAGAGAGAGAGAGAGAAAGAGAGAAAGAGAGAGAGAGAGATTAGAAACGTCCGAGGAGAGACACTTTAAGCGGAGGCGCGACAATCTTCTTCCTTAGTCACTAAATCACGCGATTCTAAGCTCACACAGAAGAGAGTTTATAAATGTATCTCCCACGCCCTCCACTGTCTGGCTGGATTTCTCTCTTTGGATCCTCTTGTTCTTCTTTCTCGTTCGGCCTATCTCTATCTCTCTTTTTCTCTTGATCTATCTTACCACTTTCTTTCACCCTTTTTCCACCAACGGCATACACCGTTGTATTACGTGCGAACGTTTTGGAAGAGTAAATTAATTTGCTTCTTTCCCGACGCGTCGTCCTCTCGTCGTTGTTCTCGAGCATGTCGTTGCCTTTTGACTCGTTTACATAGGCGTCGACCATTTCTATATCGAAATTATATCAAATTTTGATGAATTATTACGAAACAATTAAGAATATAGTTTTTTAAACGTGACACTTATTGAACCCTTTTGTTCTCGTCAAAATTTATATATCTCATTGAATATAAACATTCTCTTGTAATTTTTTATGAAGCATGAATACTAAGGAAATATATCTCCGCCCATGGAAGTGGAGTCTTCGTGTAAAAGCGACTATTGCTGTACTCGTCGTCGTCGTCGTCGTTGTCGTCGTCGTCGTCGTCGTCTCAAATGAACGCGCGCAAAAATTCTCGAAGAGTTGCGAGAATTACGGCGCGATAGTGGAAGTAAGAATGTTAGTTGGCTGGAAAGACGAAGATTTATAATTTTAATGTCTCTCGTCGCCTCTGTTCAGCACGAAAAAGGTTTAAATGCGTGCGAGTCGTTGATGGTGCGACGATGATCGAAGCGTTTAGCGGGTCTCTCTTCGTTAGTAACGGGACAAGGAACGCTTAACGATCGTCTAATCGCTCTACTAGAACGAGAAATTCTAATTAAATCGCGGTACCAGAGTTTTCCATGAATATTCTAGAGAATCTTTCGTTTAAGTTCATGAAACGAGAAACGATATTTAAATTCGATTTACTATAAAAATCAATAAAAGATCATAATAACTCTGCTAATGTATCCTGTGGATTCTATTTTTCAAGTTTCCTATTACATATTAACTGACGACTTACGTTTTCGTTTTCTCTCTCTCTATCTCTCTATCTCTCTATCTCTCTATCTTTCTATCTTTTTCGTTTTAGTTTTTTTCAACTATCGTAGTAGTAAACTAATAAGACTGATAAGTATAGAAGTAAGAAAGTTGTACAAGCGAAGTGTCCAAAGCTAAGCACATTCGGCGCTAAGCTATTCGGTGCGAGCAACAAGGAATGACGGTGTTCGCGAGGAGAGCGTGAAAATAGACGCTCAATGCCTCATAGTTGCGAGAGAGAGAGAAAGAGAGAGAGAGAGAGAGAGAGAGAGAGAGAGAGAGAGACCGTAAGCGCGACACGCCTGCCAACGCCTGTGCGCCCAGCTTGACTGTTATGAACAGCTATAATAACAGTGCTCCGCTCGCCTTCACCAAGGAGTGGCCCTCCTCATTAATGGAACACCCGCGAGACTATGAATCGTCATGGTTTCCCTGCTTCGAGTGAACGAAACCCCAGGGCATCTGCGAAATGCGAATGAATGTACGAAGCGAGTCGCGTCTTTCGAGATTATCCCTCTCCCTCTCTCCCTCTCCTTTTCTCTCTCTCTCTCTCTCTCTCTCTCTCTCTCTCTTTCTCTGGACTTTCTCCCTCTTTCGTTGCGCTCGTATTGTAACGCCGATGACAATAATAGCCAGGACAAGTAGTCTGCGACCGCGTCCGGATGAGAAATGATCGGCCCCCGGAATCGCCTCGAAAATTGCTCGGAGTCGATTTATGTCTCGTTATTTGGATCATCTCGATCCCACGAACAACGATAAATCTCCTCGTCCTTCCCCGTGCCCGCTCCAAATTTACTGCCCTTTTTATCGATACCGCGCTTTAAGTACTCGCGTGAAACTCACTCTCTCTCTCTCTCTCTCTCTCTCTCTCTCTCTCTCTCCATCTCTCTCCCTCTCTCTCCCTCTTACGCGCGCGCTTAAGCCTCTGCGAATAGTAATTGCTTTTTAATTGGTGCTTCGCGAGTCCCTCTTTGCTTCTTTCTTTAGCTTGATCATCGTGAAACTCTTGAAATATTTTCTTAACCCTTAAAACTGCTCGAGTAAAAATAACGATTTCTTCGTAACGATATTTTTCTTTTTTTTTCTTTTTTTTTTTTTTTTTTTCCTTTTTTTTTCTCAGTTATTCAAGAATCTCGATTCGTTGAAACGATATTTCGGAACGGTATGCCCTATGAAATGTTGCAAACTATTATATATTGTCCGTATTATGTCAGTGACGGTCGGAAGCTACGAACGGACTGACGATATCTATCTCGGACATTTGATTTATGACCGCTCCGCTTCGGGCTCCCTCGTAAACGTTATATTAACATTCTCCTAGTAGGCGCATAGTCGAATTTTCGGAAGAAGATCTGAGAACTCATAAAGCGGATACGCTAGAACTTGGATTATCCGGGCGTCGATTATTCGGATCGCCAATTAACCGAATCACCGAGATCCCGGAATCCGTCGTTATTTTCGTACGTTTTCATGCGTATTAGTTTATGTCACATTTATTCGTATTCTCACATAAATATTCGTTTAAATTCGTTCCATATGTAATTAATTATTTACATTAATTCATATCAATCCGACGAAATTTACTCGTTATCCAAAACTGATTTGTCCTACTAATTTTCAAGTAATAGAAAAGGACTGTTATCATCGTTATCGTTGTCTTATTTTTCTTACAGACGAGTACCTAGACGTTGGCGGTGCGAGTGAGGGCGTGCTGACGTGAGACGCCATGACGCTGAGTGCGTTCCAAAAATACGACGGCACTTTGGCACGGCATACTCTGCGCCCACTGAGTTTAGCGGTTGTTTACATCGATAAAGAAGCTGTTTCAAGTGCCATTCCGGGCCATTAGTGACCTCTTACATTATCTAGAAATCCAACGGAATCTCGGGATATCCCATGAAAACTGAATAGGCTAACATGTCTCTTTCCTCATCAACGATTATATCACAATAAAGATTCTAAGAGTTATCGGTGTAATTCACTTTGTATTAATCAAATTTCATTGAAATAATTCATCAAATAATTCATAAATTTGTGAAACTTGAAAGAAATAATTAATGCTAACGTGAAACAGCTATACACAAACGTGGGGTCCCGAGAAAAGATAGTTGTTTTCGGGTTTATGCGATGCGCGGAGTGACGTTTAGTGGGTGTTTTCGGTTTCCGTTTTGGTCCCAACGAAACGAGGTGTTAATTCGTTCGCTCGAAAACGCTGGATCACGGAGTCGTGTCGACAGTTCTGAATTATTATTACGTTCCACTTCGTCGCCACGTATGATTCGTGAGAACGAGGTAACAGTATTTTTCTTTTCTTTTTTTTTTTTCCTTTTTTTCTTTTCTTCTTCTTTTTTTGTTTTTCTTCCTTTTTTTTCTTCTTCTTCTTTTTTTTCTCATAGAGATAATGATTCTTCGTTTTTTGATGAAGTACGCGTATCTGCATACGTCGCTTTTCTCCATTGATTGAAACGAATCATTTGAATCTGTCGGTCCCATCTGTCGGATGGAAATAACAATAAATTTAATGACGAGTAGTAGCGACTTTCACGAAATAAACAAATACATAGACTTCCTACGGTAATAGAGATCGATCAGAAACGAGTTTCGTTCTACTTGGTTCGCGGAATGACGGATAAGATAATTTAGATGGACTTTCGGATAACGCTTTGACGGTTTCATCGTTATTCAAGCAGAAAAAGATATTCTCTAGGAGGAACGTTCATTGGTAAATGAATTTATAATAATGATAAAATAATTTTATAATAATCTGTAAGACCGAGCATCGTTTTCACACGGTGAAGGACTGAGAATGAAAAAGAAAAAGAGAAAGAGAGAGAGAGAGAGAGAGAGAGAGAGAGAATATTTTTTTTTTATAACCATTCTGCTGCGATCTTGAAGTTTTCTATATTGTCGGGATAATTGACATTGCTTCTTCATATTCGAATCCATAGCCATTATATTCAGATTAATTTCAGTGGTGCTCAACACTTTTTTCCATGCAAAATTACGAAATTGACGTGGATTCTTTCTGTTGGTAGTAAGACTACCAAACTACTTTGTCTTTTGATTTGGAAAAAGACAACTTAAAGCATTCCATACTAGCTCGTTCTTCCAACGGTGCTTTTTCTTATTAAAATTAAAATCTCGACGTTTCGTAGGGTGTTAACCTTTACTATAGTTCAATAAAATTACTGTAATTGATAAAAATTATATCTCTATCGCTAAAAGATAGTCATATAAAATTCGGCAAATATCATAACGCAGCGTTTCAATTTCGGTGTATAATGATAAAATCATGTTTATCTAATCCGCTTGAATTTAATTTCCTAATTGAATTTTTTCAAAGAGTCAAGATCTAGTTAAATTGATCTTGAAACGAACAAAAACGATAGGTCCATTCCATTATCTATGAAAATCGTTAGATCCATTTTCAAAATAAAATTGACTAATATACAAATATATTATAATTGCTCATTTAATAATATAGGATAAAAGTTTGTTCCGTAAGGTGACTAAGGTAATCGTACGTTTTAAATGTATGCCCGCTTAATAATACATCGGGTTTATCTGCCGTGACAACTATTTCTTCTCCTAAATCACTATCTAAATGCTACGCCAACTAATATATATCATCCGAACGTTGTAGAACCTGTATTTAAGCCATCGATGGCGACTGAAAAAATTTACGCCCGGTACCATTATAATCCCATTAGCGTTGTTCGTTTGGTTAAAGTGTCTCTCTCCGCTCGTAAATACGCGTCGACCATATCATTAACGCGTATTTCGCCCTGGGATTTAAGCTTATGTGGGAGTTCATTCTTGATATGTTTAAGAACGCTTACGAAAGATCTTAGATTTCTCTTAATTTAATAGGATCCTGTTACTTATTTCTTCGTTTCTATGGAAGCTACGATAATGTAGGTTTACCATTATTACGTTGAAAATTTTCTTATATGCTTTCTGCATATAGAGGTATCCAACTATTCTTTATAACATAAATATCTCTTGAAGAAAGGTACGTAGGGTAACTACGATGGATTCGTTGCTTTTACGTCCGGTGGCTTGCCCAGCTTTAACTAATACTAGTATCACTATATTTCAAACTATTCCACGTCTCAGCGATATATCATAGCGATGCATTTAGCTGTCATCGCTGAAAATACCAACGACGCGGAACTGGACGAACGGAATGTGCTGCGTTCGAACAATGTAATAAACGGCCAATGTTCGCCGTGTTCTCTAATTCCACGTGCCACTTAATACGACCGACATCTCCGACTTTTCGTCGGCCCATTGTCTAGGCATTTATAAGTATCCCTAACTTTCACGAGGGGAAAAAGGAAAAAGAAGGAAAAAATGAAAAAGAAAAAAAAAAAGAAAAAGAAGGAGAAAAGGGGGGAAAAAATGAAAAAACAAAAGGAGAATAGATATGCGTTTCGCGCGGTTGAACGCATCTGCCATGTGGGTGTTACCAGTAAATCTTGCGTACCATGATATGTCAGACGGAACTGTCACACGGTACGCCGTTTTACAATGGCATTATCGTACATACATGTACCCATACTTACATATAACGCATATGTACATAGACATAAGTGTCACGAAAGCGTGGGTTAACGTTAACCGGCATTGTACAAGAAGCTTTGTAAGAGACGAGTTTAAAGCCTCCGACTGAGAGTTAACAGATGCACCCTAAAATCGAGAAATGTCCGTCGACAGTGTAACACGTCGCTGAATTTGCCCGGAATTGTGTGTGCGTGTGTGTGAAAGAGAGAAAGAGAGAGAGAAAGAGAGACGGACACTTTTGTGCGAGTTACGTCTTCATTTTCTTGCCACTTTACGAGATAGAGAGAATTAAATATACACTCGTAGCTTTTCGAGTCGAATCATTCAAAAGAAAGACAGAAAGAGAGAAAGAGAGTGAGAAAGACAAAATATTATATTATAGTCATCTTTATCAAGAAAATGATTTATTAACAAATACAATAAGTTACAAACTTATAACGTACATTTATAAACGTAAATCTCTCGATCGTTCCTTCTCAAAAAGCAATAAAAAAATCATTTCGTAGTCGTCGCGGACAAACGAGCGTCATTAATATCAGCGTTTTCTCCGGTTTCGCACATATGTATGTTACTCGTCGGTAGACCATTATGCGATTTTACGCGACGAGCATAACGTTCCCCCCGGTCCCGGCAGCCCGCCACTCTACTTGAATATTTTGCAACTTGCGTGAAATCTAATTAGTCTGAAAAATGATAAACTTTGGTAAGCTCGCTATGGATTGTAGGGTAGGACAAGAAAAGACCGAACGAATTGACGTTAATTACTTTTTTATGTGCGCTCCTTGGTAAAGTGGTTCATCGTGTAGGAGAAAAGAAAGAAAGAAAGAGAGAGAGAGAGAGAGAGAGAGAGAGAGAAAACGATAGCAAGAAGGGAGAGAGGGGAAAAGAGAGGAGAACTAACGCGGACTTAATCGACTTTTAATGCGTATTAAGTCGCGAATTTATCTCTCTTACTTTCTCTTTTTCTCTCTATCTCTCTATCTATCTATCTATCTATCTCTATCTCTATTTCTCGCATGGACGCAGAGGTTCTGGCGCTCTGTTGAAAGCGGAAATCTGTTGAAGGGCGCTCGAGGCTATCCATAACGTTCTCAGGATTATTCGACATGACGAGACGAGAGCAAACCAGACATGGCTTCAGACTCGGCCGAGACGTTTTACCCAGACAAGCCGGATCGACGCGGAGGATCTCGCGAAAAGCGAGAAGAGTCGACACGAGAGAAGAAGCAGCGTATTCCTGGTCGGCCGCGCAAAAACGGGCCTCGACCGCATTTTTGGCCGTGTGCGTGCGAACGATATCGAAGAGGAAGAGGAAGAGGAGGAGAAAGGCAGCGGGGGAGGAAAAAGAAGAAGGGTTCTCTCTCTTTCTCTCTTTCTCTCTCTCTCTTTCTTTCTTTCTTTCTCTGTCTCTTTTAACGAACGAAGAAATGGATGATGCGTCTGCATCCTTTGGAGACGAGAAGAATATGGTCGCCTGGGGGATAGCAGATGGTTTCCCTTTTTCTACGCCGAGCGTATAACCTAACACGGCGAAAAAATTTTTACTCTCTCGCGGCACTGTCAAAATCACTGAGAGAGGAGCTCTTATTTATTGGAGACAGGTTGTTCATTCGTGTTCCATCTCTTTACATTTTTCTTCCTGCTTCGCAGCCGTACTTGCCATTCAAAGGAAATAATTTCGAAAAGTCAGCGTGCATAAAAATAACTCGTTCATTCGTTAAAATCTTAGAGAAAATAAAAGGTTAAAGAAGAATATATATTCGTTTGTTCGTACGGTTTTTCTTTCTTTCTCCTTTCTCTCTTTTTTTTTTTTTCTTTGTGTTCTTGTCGCATTTATTTATCCGTATTTATATTTACGTATTTATATTTATTTTCTTTTCTTTTCTTTTCTCATTTTTTTAATAATTTCAAAAAGAAAGAAAAGTTTCACGAGTTGTCGTGAAAAAAGAATTGAGAGTTGGTTCCTACGTTTGGCCCACGACGAAGAGCAATCTAAGTTTGCCACAAACTCGGACAACTCTGATATATTAGTTTCATGCGCGCTTACATAACCGTGGAGATATTCGCCATCGCATACTCAAAGTCAGCCTCGTCACCGTGGATGAAAAGTTGTGCTCTCTGAGAATGCCTTCGTCTTTTCTTTTTCCTTTTCCCCCACCCCCTTCCTCTCACTCTCTCTCTCTCTCTCTCTCGGCGTCGTTGAGTCTATGGCAAATTCGCAACGTTTTAGCCCACTTCACCACACCAGACACTCTTCTCATTCTCCTCTTCGAATCATTAGTTTTAACGATCCGACGAACGATCGCTTAGAACGTCTTTTGACTATTAAACGTACCAGTCGTCGTTTACGAGAGAGAGAGAGAGAGAGAAAGAGAAAGAGAGAGGGGGAGAGAGGGAGAAAGAGAGAAGGAGAGAGAGAAAGAAAGAGAGAGGGAGAGAGAGAGAGAGCAATTATTAATAGGTCTTTTGCTACTGCGGATGTTTGACGATCGAAACGTTCTAACTAACATTGAAAAGTATTAGAAAACTTGCCGGGAAGTTACGATCGACAATATCTAAAGATTCTTTTTTTTTTATTGACGACGCAATGTCGAATATATTCTCACCGTTCGCCGTCATACTTTCTATGTAAATTAGTCAGCGATGTAGAAGAGAAACTAAGAAAAAAAAAGACAAGAAAAAAAAAAAATTAAGAGGAAGAAGAGCAAGATAAGTAAGAAAGAGAGAAA